GAACCCAAATACCTGTACTTTCTACTTCTCACATGTTGAACCCAAATACCTGTACTTTCTACTTCTTACATGTTGAACACAAATACCTGTACTTTCTACTTCTTACATGTTGAACCAAATACCTGTACTTTCTACTTCTTACATGTTGAACCCAAATACCTGTACTTTCTACTTCTCACATGTTGAACCCAAATACCTGTACTTTCTACTTCTTACATGTTGAACCCAAATACCTGTACTTTCTACTTCATACATGTTGATACCCAAATACCTGTACTTATCTACTTCTTACTGTTGAACACAAATAACCTGTACTTTCTACTTCTTACATGTTGAACACAAATACCTGTACTTTCTACTTCTTACATGTTGAACTCAAATACCTGTACTTTCTACTTCTTACATGTTGAACACAAATACCTGTACTTTATACTTCTTACATGTTGAACACAAATACCTGTACTTTCTACTTCTCTCATGTTGATCTCAAATACCTGTACTTTCTACTTCTTACATGTTGAACCCAAATACCTGTACTTTCTACTTCTTACATGTTGAACACAAATACCTGTACTTTCTACTTCTCTCATGTTGAACACAAATACCTGTACTTTCTACTTCTCTCATGTTGAACACAAATACCTGTACTTTCTACTTCTTACATGTTGAACTCAAATACCTGTACTTTCTACTTCTTACATGTTGAACCCAAATACCTGTACTTTCTACTTCTTACATGTTGAACACAAATACCTGTACTTTCTACTTTTCACATGTTGAACTCAAATACCTGTACTTTCTACTTCTCTCATGTTGAACACAAATACCTGTACTTTCTACTTCTCACATGTTGAACACAAATACCTGTACTTTCTACTTCTTACATGTTGAACACAAATACCTGTACTTTCTACTTCTTACATGTTGAACTCAAATACCTGTACTTCTACTTTCACATGTTGAACTCAAATACCTGTAGCTTTCTACTTCTCTCATGTTGAAGCACAAATACCTGTACTTTCTACTTCTCACATGTTGAAACACAAATACCTGTACTTCTACTTCTTACATGTTGAAACACAAATACCTTGTACTTTCTACTTCTTACATGTTGAACACAATACCTGTACTTTCTACTTCATACATGTTGAACACAAATACCTGTACTTTCTACTTCTCTCATGTTGAACACAAATACCTGTACTTCTACTTCTCACATGTTGAACACAATACCTGTACTTTCTACTCTTTCTCACATGTTGAACACAAATAACCTGTACTTTCTACTTCTCACATGTTGAACACAAATACCCTGTACTTTCTACTTCTTGACATGTTGAAACCCAAATACCTGTACTTTCTACTTCTTACATGTTGAACACAAAGACCATGTACTTTCTACTTCTCTCATGTTGAACACAAATACCTGTACTTTCTACTTCTTACATGTTGAACACAAATACCTGTACTTTCTACTTCTCACATGTTGAACCCAAATACCTGTAACTTTCTACTTCTTACATGTTGAAAACCCAAATACCTGTACTTTCTACTTCTTACATGTTGAAACCCAAATACCTGTACTTTCTACTTCTCACATGTTGAACTCAAATACCTGTACTTTCTACTTCTTACATGTTGAACACAAATACCTGTACTTCTACTTCTCACATGTTGAACCCAAATACCTGTACTTCTACTTCTGACATGTTGAACTCAAATACCTGTACTTTCTACTTCTTACATGTTGAACTCAAATACCTGTACTTTCTACTTCTTACATGTTGAACACCAAATACCTTACTTTCTACTTCTTACATGTTGAACTCAAATACCTGTACGTTCTACTTTCTTAGCATGTTGAACTCAAATACCTGTACTTTCGACTTCTTACATGTTGAAACTCAAATACCTGTACTTTCTACTTCCTTACATGTTGAACTCAAATACCTGTACTTTCTACTTCTTACATGTTGAACACAAATACCTGTACTTTCTACTTCTTACATGTTGAACACAAAATACCTGTACTTTTCTACTTCTCACATTTGATGAACTCAAATACCTGTACTTTCTACTTCTCACATGTTGAACACAAATACCTGTACTTTCTACTTCTTACATGTTGAACTCAATACCTGTACTTTCCTACTTCTTACATGTTGAAACCCAAATACCTGGTACTTTCTACTTCTCACATGTTAGAACTCAATACCTGTACTTTCTACTTCTCCACATTTTGAACTCAAATACCTGTACTTTCTACTTCTTACATGTTGAACACAAATACCTGTACTTTCTACTTCTTACATGTTGAACTCAAATACCTGTACTTTCTACTTCTCACATGGTTGAACTCAAATACCTGTACTTCTACTTCTCACATGTTGAACACAATGCCCTGTACTTTCTACTTCTTACATGTTGAACTCAAATACCTGTACTTTCTACTTCTTACATGTTGAACCCAAATACCTGTACTTTCTACTTCTTACATGTTGAACTCAAATACCTGTACTTTCTACTTCTCACATTTTGAACTCAAATACCTGTACTTTCTACTTCTTACATGTTGAACACAAATACCGTTACTTTCTACTTCTTACATGTTGAACTCAAATACCTGTACTTTCTACTTCTTACATGTTGAACTCAAATACCTGTACTTTTCTACTTCTCACATGTATGAACTCAAATACCGTGTACTTTCTAACTTCTCCGTCATTTCCAAACAGCTGGTTTCTTTAGTCTGAATGTGTGTTTGATGCGTGATCATTATTCTTTAGAGTCATTGCGTGCCTATTGATTTGAACACGATCCGTGTATCCATCATTTCCTGGTCTTCTCTAAAGAAGAGGGACCAATGGAAACGTTGTCATGTTGCCGTTGTTCAGCATTTATTGTTCTTTCAACCTGTTAAGCCCTGAGCCTGTTTTTCAGGTCTGAGGCTCGTAAATGACTAGGGATTTAACGATACCAAAAACTCACGGTACGATAATATCGCGATAACAAGTCCACTGTACGGTATTTATCGCGATATTGAATAATAAAGGAAAAAAACAAATTCAAATTTTTTTTTCAATATCATTTTTTTACTGGGAAAATGTTTCTTTATTAAACAATATATCTGATTTGTACAGCATGTTAGTAGGGTAGCAGTATTTTAAAGTGTCAAAAACAAAGTGACAGTAACAGACTGGAACAAGAAAACCAGTGTTTTTGTACCTACAGTACTACCAAACAAAGTAGGCATTTTCTTTGTGCCACTGCATCTCACAAATAAACATTTAATAATCAGACCCTGCAATAAAATAAATCTAGTTTCACTTTAGTTTTTCAAGTAACTCAAACTCACTAGTCACTCACTCAGCATCATCAGACAGGTTTTTAGGAATATGAGCATGTCCACATTTCCAGGTATTTATAAGCTGGGATGTTTGGGCGTTTACAAAATCCCCTGCTCTGGAAAACACTCTCTCTCTTGGTACTGGTGTTGCTGGGACAGCAGAGGTCGCGTTAACAGAATATTTTATTTAACAATGACGGAAAAATCTGAAAGCAGTCTGTCATTTTGACAGATTAGAACAAACTCGGAACAGCGCCAACGTTTCCCCGCAGCGAGGCTCTGGTGTTATGCCGTGTTATGCATGCCCTCCAAAAGGAAATGATATAGTTTCCAAACCGTACTTTGCCTACAGATCAACACATGCCTGGGAGCTTTTGCTTTACGCTGTGCGCGCTCCCGCGAGGTGCATGCACACACGGCATAACACCGCCCCCCCCCCCCCCCCCCGTTGACAGTTCACGAGCGTGCTCTCTCGTGAACTGTTCAGACCCGACGGGTAATAAGGGATTATGACGGACATTTTACGATCCTGTCTGTCAAAATGACGGACAGCGAAAAAGTCTAACGCCACCTCAGTGGGACGGAGAGATATGCTTTGGCCATGGGTGGCAGCAGTGGGTCAAACTGTGCATTGTCTCTCCACCACTTCAAAAACAATACAGTTTTTGCCAAGAAGGTAAGGCTTATTGACAGAGATATAAATATACTGTTGGTACTTGTCAGTGTCTCTAGGTGTGTACATGTAGCACTGTAAATACGATGTCCTTTTGTGTTCTGTTGTTTTATGTTCATGTTGTAACCTACTTGCTGCCATGTTGGACAGGTCTCTCTTGAAAAAGAGATCGATGATCTCAATGGGACCATCTGGTTAAATAAAGGTTTAAAACAAAAAAAAGCGTTTAAAAAAAACATATTTTTCAAAAATGTATTTGAAAAAAAAATCGCGGTAGATTTTGTCGGTCTCACGACGGTATTGGGACGTTTATTTACCGTGATACCGCAATATTCGGTATATCGTTACATCCCTAAAAATGACGTTCCCAGAACAAATGACCATATCTTCTAAAAGGGTTAAATTAATAATCTTTTTTCTCAAAGCAATGATAAACCTGTGAGTTGGATGTAGAAAAGTCAGAATCAATATAGATGTTTTTATTTTAAAGTAACTTCAGATTGAACATAGTAAAACATTTTTTAATTATTGTGTCCGTCCAAAAACAAAACATTACTTATTGTGAAAACCACCCTTGAATGATGGGATAGTAGACTAAAAGCTTTAGGAATCCAAACTATAACATAATAAGCACCCTGTATCAAGATTGATGCAAAACAAGTGACCTTTGACCTTTTTAGAGAGATTTAGAAAAACAAAAACCACTTCTGGGGTCATTTGGGTGGATTTGCCATATCTCTGGAACCCATCGGTCGATTTTGGTGATTGGCACCTCTTTTGAACCGTTTGAGCCAATAGCATCGAGGGGAAGTTCCTAAAATTCCATTTAAACATTACCATTGGTGAATAGAGTGATGCGCAGCCAGAATGCCCAAAACCGGAAGCTGGGTTACAGCTCTCAAAACTCAGTTTTTGACATAAATGTTATGATGGATTATCAGGAATCATTTCAAAGTGACACAGACACATTGGATTAACCTATGGATTAACGTTCAGCAGCGTTTTTTGCGTTTTAATGCCATTGAACACAACTTTTGATCAGAAAACAGACGAGGTAAGACGTATTTGCCGTTTTGGCCCCGTAAAGCTAAGTTGTGTGTTGTCTGGTTTTGCCTTCGCTGCCCCTGATCGCACAGTGATGATACTTATACCATTGGAATCTGTGGAATCTCAGCTTTCATATGATATCTTGTTTGTGCAGATCCGATGAAGTATAAAATATTTCGACCATGAGTTATGTGCTAAGTGCGTTAGCACTCTTTCGCATAGCGCTAATTCAGACGCTTGGCGTTATAGTTGTGTTTTGTTTCTGGAAAAATGGTTCATATCGTCAGTTAGCTGAGTTTCTTCCCGTTAAGTGGGTATGACACATTAATAGGTTGTTAAATGTTAAGAAGCCCTCAGACGCTGTTTCGTGAAAAAAAAACAAAAAAAAAACAGGTTAATATAAAGCGAGGTCAGTTACTCTTTAAAACAGATGGTAGTTATGGGTACTTTTTACTGAAGTACATTTCAAAGCCTCTTTACTTTCACTTGAGTAAAGAAGTTTAGTCAGTACTTTTGTTTTAACACGAGTATCTGTACTTCTACTTGAGTAAAGATGTGTTTACTTTTGCTCTGATATTGAAATGTAAACAAGCTTGAAGGAAACTTTAAGAGACTTTGCTGCCAGCGGCCGAAGACACATCATGTAACATTAGTAGACTGTTGTTGTGTCAGTCTGGACACTACATGCTGAAAGTGGTAGAAACAGATGTATGTGTGTGTGTTTTGGGGTCTTTGTACACACCTTGGTCGCAGTACAGGCCCCCCCACCCCTCCTTGCAGTTGCATTGCCACGACTGCTGGCAGGTGCCATGCAGACATCCGGGGTGTCGGGCACACTCGTCACAGCGCGGCCCCTGCCAGCCCTGCCGACACACACACTCTCCGGGGGATTCACATAAACCATGTTCATCACTGCATCCCGCCACACAGATGGCTGATGGGGAAAAGAGAGGGAAAGAAAGAAAGGGAGAAGGGAGGAAGAGGAGATATTAGTATGAGCGTCTCATGTTCTTCGCTCAAAACACAAAACTCTGCAATATATACAGCTCCTAGTAATAGGATGGGTAAAAAGCAGAGAACACATTTCACCATGTGTGTGTGTGCGTGCGTGCGTGCGTGGGTGCGTGCATGTGTGTGTGTGTACCAGGGTTTCTGTTAGCCGGTAATTACCGGTTTTTAGCTTGTCAAATTTATAAAAAAACGGTCAATTCAAAACCTGCCGGTCAAAATGTCCGGTAATAATTAGGGAGGCTCCGATCGATTGCCGCCGATCATTATCGGCCGATATTCACTCTTAATAGTTTGATCGGTGCTCTCTATAAAGAACGATCAGGAGAGCTGGATCTGATCGATATGGACATAAACGCGAGTGAAGTGTAACCGGACGAGAGAGAGATCAGATCAGCTGCTGAGTCTGACCGAGACAAAGCTCGCTCTGCATAATCACCTGAAGCCCCACCTCTGTTTAGTGAGCTGCAGGAGAGACTGATGGGCTGTCAGAGAGAGAGAGAGAGAGAGAGAGAGAGAGAGAGAGAGAGAGAGAGAGAGAGAGAGAAGAGAGAGAAGAGAGAGAGAAGAGAGAGAGAGAGAGAGGATCCGTTTCGCCCGTGTTATTATCCAAACTTTTGAATAATGTACTTCCTCTATAAGTAGTTTGTCTGAATGTAATAATTATGTTTGTAATTTGTGGAAGCGAATCATTTATTGAAAGATGAATCTGAACTTTTCGATCTTTTTTTCTTTTCTTTTTGTATTTATTTATAGAAGGACCATGAAACAAAAACATTCATCTCAGCAAAGAGAAGAGATGCAATATGCCACATTATAGCTAATAGCTCATTTCCATCTGTGGTCCTCAGACAGGTTCATGGTCTCTTTCAGTCAAACCATTTTAAAACCTGACTTAAGTAGCTCAATAAATTAATACATAGAACACTTGAAACACACTTACATGATCTCGGTCACTCAAATAATTACAAAGCCTGATTTAAATACAGGTTACTAACATAATACTTAGTACACTTCAAATGCACTTAAATAACATATCTAAGATATAGCATGACAATACAGTTCAAATTAAAAAAAACTCAGATTACAGTGTAATTCATGTTGGCATGACTGGTTGCTTAATATCGTTTTGTTTTTTTGCACCATAAGAAAACGAGTTAAAATCAGTTCAGGTTTTAAGTTCAACTGGAAGAGTATTCCAGTGCTTGATGGCCGTAAACGAAAATGCTGATCGTCCAAAGGCAGTGCGCCTCAGAGGGATGGTTAGATAGAAGCTGAAAAAAGCTCCTCAACGGTGGTGTTGTAGAATTGTGAATGATTCTGAATACCAATCGAACTCGGAAAGTAGAACAAGTCTATCAAAACTGAAAAGTTTGTATTTGGACAGTATATTGCAATGATGGTGTTTTAATGACTTTCTATCCATAACTTTTAAGGCTTGTTTGTAAAGAACCTCAAGTGGTCTCATAGCAGTCTTATGGCGCGTTTCCACTGCAGGCCTCGCTCGGCCTCGCTCGGTTTGGTTAGGCCTTATTAGGCCCGGCTCACTTTAATGCTGCGCTTCCATTACAGTTTAGGAACTGGGGCAGTTACTATAGTAACGCAGTGTAGGTGGAACCGTGACGTCATCTTCAATGAGAGCCCCAGAAAAACAACACAGCCGTTAGCTCTTAGCACTCAGAGCTCACAGCTCTTCATATCTGTTCAGAAACTAGACAAAAGTTAAACAAGTACAAACCACAGACTGCCTGTGTCATGGAGAATACAGTCGCTGGTTTATTTATGTCTGTATAGGCCGTTGTTGTGAGTGTGGACGGTCGGAGCATATATAACGTTAGCTTAGCCAAGCTACATTTAGAAAACACGCATTTTAAAAGGGTTTTTCGCCTGCCGTCTGTCTGCAGACTTGTCAAAGCATTAATTCATGGTTTTTACTAAAGGCCCTGTCACACTGTCCCGAAATTGACACCCGATGGACACACGATAAAGGAAATGTTCAAATTCGGCTGTGATCGTAGCAACATCGGGCCATTCGCGAGGGCATCTTAAGCCATCGTATGACCGCCGGTGGAGTTTCTCAGGCTCCGGCAGCAACTTTGTGAGCGGCAACTTCGTAAGGCACTCGTGAGGGCATCTTGTCAAATCGTGTCATCTTCGTGTTATCATCGGTGCATTCACCCTCACTCTGATCGGGGCGAATGCCCGATGGCACCGATGATAACAAGATGCCCTCACGATGGCCTTACGAAGGGCACAATTGACACACGAATTCAACACGAAAATGAACCTTCTCAAGGTCCTTCGTTAATTTTTTGGCATGCCAAAGATTTTGCCACCGCTCACGAAGTTGCTGCCGGAGCCTGAGAAACTCCACGGGCGGTCATACGATGGCTTAAGATGCCCTCACGAATGGCCCGATGTTGCTACGATCACAGCCGAATTTGAACATTTCCTTTATCGTGTGTCCATCGGGTTTTTTATTGCACAACAAAATCATGTAAATATATTATGTAAATAACCCAATTTGTGTTCTGTGAAACTAAAAAGGATATCATATATTATTTTGAAGGACAGTTGACAGGAAGTTGTTGTTGTTATGGAAACAACATTACGGAGAAAACGTAATATTTTCTACATATAACGACGGATAAAGTAAAGAACAAAGTCTGAAGATATCAGTACAGTATCATAGTACTGTAACATAATTGTTTGTGTTACTTTCGTTGCAGTTGTATGTCTTAAATGTAATGTAAATGTTGCCTTCGTGTGTGGTTCGGGGCCATCTTTGTGCGGAATTCACAATTCCATATTCGTGTGTCCATCGGGTGTCAATTTCGGGACAGTGTGACAGGGCCTTAACCGATATCAGTATGTTGTTACTTCGGCATCATTTTGAAACGTGTATTACAATTAAATCACGGTCAAATATGTTCATCTTGTTGTAGTTGTAGCCCCCTTGCCAGCGATTCTCTCTCTAGTTTAGCATACTCAGCCCGACTCAGCCTGGTTGTTCCTGGCCCTAGAACCACGATTTTATGGGGCCAGAAAAACTGTGAATTAGGACCCGCTAGCCGGTACTAGGCCAAGTGGAAACGCAACCAAAAACGGGCCCCGCACGGCTCGGCACGCTTAAAGCGAGCTACCCGCTGCAGTGGAAACGCGCCATTAGTTGCTTGGGACCAGCAGGTTATACAGTAGTGAAAATGTGATAGTATCATGGCATGCAAAAAGGTTTTCGATGCTTCTATGGTTAATGAGTTCCTAATATGTTTACATTTGAAAATGTTATATATCAGCTTTCTAGTCATGCTTCTAATATGGCTTTCAAAAGTCAAATTGGCATCCAAGATCACTCCCAAGTATTTGACCTCATTGACGTTTTCAATTATTTTACCATTCACACGAAGCTGTGGATGCGTGGTTGTTTTTTTCTTATTCGTGAAATACATTGTCACTGTTTTGTTAGTGTTTAAAGTTAGACAAGAGTCATTTAACCATTGAGCAACTTTGTGCAGCGTCGACGAGAGCTTAGAGGCAACCTGAGTGTAAACCACTGTGTCGTCAGCATACATCTGGACGTCCACATCCTCACAAACAGATGGGAGATCATTCATATGCTGAACAACAGCGGTCCAAGAATTGAGCCTTGTGGCACTCCGATTGAGCATGGCTTCGTTTCTGACAGTTTATCATTTATACGGACACATTGAGAACGACCAGCTAAATAAGACCTGACCCATTGTATTGTGCTAACTGACAGGTTGAGATTGTTGAGTTTTAATAACAGTTTGGAATGGTTTACTGTGTCAAATGCTTTTCGCAGGTCAAGGAACACTGCTCCAACTATCCCTCCTTTGTCTAACTTAGCCTTGATTCCTTCCACTAAATAGCAGCATGCAGTCTCAGTAGATTAATTGGTCCTAAAACCAAACTGCATGGGATGGAGTAGGTTGTTGTAGCTTAGGTGTGACCCCAGCTAAACTGAAGCAATATAAAACTGAGACCCATTAACTGAGTTTTAAACATCAGCATATCCGGTCATAGTCCGGTAATTACCTGCTAACGGAAACTCTTATTATTATTATTGAAACATGAATTTTTCCAGTAAAATAAATTATTTCCGGACATTTGACCGGCAAGAAAAAATCCTAGCGGAAACCCTGGTATGTATGTGTGTATGTATGTATATGTATGTATGTATGTATGTATGTATGTATGTATGTATGTATGTATGTATGTATGTATGTATGTATGTATGTATGTATGTATGTATGTATGTATGTAAGTATGTATGTATGTATGTATGTATCATACATACATACATACATACATACATACATACATACATACATACATACATACATACATACATACTTACATACATACATACTTACATTCATACTTACATACATACATAATGTATGTATGTAAGTATGAATGTAAGTATGTATGTATGTAAGTATGTATGTATGTATGTATGTATGTATGTATGTAAGTATGAATGTAAGTATGTATGTATGTATGTATGTATGTATGTATGTATGTATGTATGTATGTATGTATGTATGTATGTATGTATCTATGTAAGTATGAATGTAAGTATGTATGTATGTATGTTAGGGATGTAACGATATACCGAATATCCCGGTAAATAAACGTCCCAATACCGTCGTGAGACTGACAAAATCTACCGCGATTTAAAAAACCTTTTTATTAACCAGATGGTTCCATTGAGATCATCGATCTCTTTTTCAAGATGCAACATAAAACAACAGAACACAAAAGGACATCGTATTTACAGTGCTACATGTACACACCTAGAGACATTGACAAGTACCAACAGTATATTTATATCTCTGTCAATAAGCCTCACCTTCTTGGCAAAAACTGTATTGTTTTTGAAGTGGTGGAGAGACAATGCACAGT